TGGAAAATGCATAAATACCGAGCTTAAGGGGTGAGCAGGCCTGGGCTTACAGGCCGTGGGACCTTGGCTAACTCCCTTGACCTGCCTCTGCCTAAGGTCTACTGTCTGACTGGTGGTTACTCTTCCTAGGCTGAGATCCAAAGCTGGGAAAAGCAGAGAGAGGGTCAGTTTGGCTTGCATCCTAGCCATAGCTATGGGAATGTTTGCTAGTAATGCACACGGAGTCATCACTGTGCATTTGGGAGACGGGGTGGGGAAGGGTGGAGGGGAGGGAGCCTGCATGGGGCAGCATCCAGTTGTTTTATTCATGATTCTAACAAGTTTGTTGGTTGCTTTTGAGAGGTCCCAAGGAGATGCTTTAGAGGTCATGTTCTCTGCCACTTCTTTGAAATTGAAAGAATTCAATTCTTGTCTGCATTTTTACACATGAGGGTTATAGCTGTGTGAACAGGATGAAAGTGATCGTAGATGAGATGAGCAGAGAAAGCCACCATAAATGAGAGGCTCATTTCCAGAAGTGGCTTAAGGAAATTTACCCTCCTACTTGATAATCACACCACAGAGAAATTGTGTGCCCGTTGGTACAGAGTTAATTATCAATAAAAGATATTTCATATCCTGTTATTCAGGTTGGTTCTGGTGGCACACTGGCCCCAGGGCACTCATTTAGATTCATGGGTTTTCCCACCTACATAATGAAACTCGTTATCCTTCCATCTATTTATCTGCTCATTATTCTTTCTGTCGCCCCCACAGCCTCTTTCTCTTGCCCTGTGACATCTGAGCTCCTATCATCTGTTTGGGGTTAGCAGCGTTTCGGATTGTCCCACAGAGGCACTGGGGGGCCTGGACAAAGCCTGCTGGGATGAGCAGCGTCCTGGAGCTGTGTCTGCCACCAGCCCCTGAGTCTGTCTCTCAGCTCCCTTTATCTAGATGATCAGGGCAAGCCTTACGAGCTGATGTGGTGAGTAGCACAGCACCAGGGCAGAGGCAGTCTGCAGCCTGGGGTCTGCTCCTCCAGGCCCCTTCCCAGCCTTCCTCCCAGAGTGCAGCTCTGCCCATCAGCCCTGGTGAGGTCAACCTGACCAGGCCTTCCAAGACCCAAGACGTATCCTGAGCCAGCTTGCTGACTCATCTGCCGTGTTTGGCTGTGCTTCACAGGTTCCCCTCCATGCAGCCAGCTTCATCAGCCTTTCAGACCCAGCTGGGGGTCTCCTCTGGGAGGCCTGTCTTGGATGCCCCTCACCCCAGACTGGTTTGGTAACCCTCAGTGCTCCACATGAGGAGTCAATGAGATATTTCATCAAAAGCATGGAGCGCAGTGTCTGGCTCAGTTCAGCAGGTATTTTTGGATGACCTGTCCTCTGTCAGTCAGCAGGGGATATAAATGTGAAAGAGGCACAGCCCCAGCCCTTGGATGGCAGGGTGACAAACCGGGATCCTGCTTTACATGTACTGTGGTGTGATGATGGCAGCAGGAACTGAGTAGGCTCACGAAGGGGGATATGGGAACTGCCTGGGGATTCGGGATGGGCTTCCTGGAGGAGGTGACCCCTAGGATCAGTTACAGCATTGGCCGAATTTGGGGAGCAGAGGGTGAGGGTAGAATTGCAAGCAAACAGAGGAGCAGGGATAAGAAACATCCTGTGGGGCGGAACAGCTCAGAGCAGCTCAGGACAGTGAGAATCAAGTTGGGGTCAGGAGTCAAGATGGAGCTGGGGAGACTTCTCCTCACAGCTTCTATGCATCAGGACCTGTTCGAATGCCTAGTATTGGGAGGGCGCCTTGCGGATTGATGCTATGTGCTAGAGACTCAGGGAGGCACACATAGTACAGGGCGATCTCACACTCTGAACTAGACTAGTGGACAAGGTTGACGGGCCCAGATGCCAGAGGAAACAGCAGATAAAATCTTTCTGGATGAAAAGTCTTATTCTGATCTTTGTCTGTGGTTTTCAAACCACTGCTTCCTTGGGTCATGGGTGAGTCATTTGCACCCAGCCATCATGGTTCCCAAGTGGCAGCCACAGCAAGCCTCCCCCTGGGTGCTTACAGATGAACTAGCAAACTCTAGGCCCTCTAGGACACCCATGGCCCTCAACTGGGCCACTCCATTTCTGTGTCACTCATTACCCTGTCTCCTTAACTGCTTCTATCCCTGGCCCAGACTCCAAGGGAGCGTGCCCACAGGCATGGCCAAGGGGCCAGGACTTGGCAGATTTCATAAAAGAACAGAGTCAAGGACTGCAGGCTGCCACCAGCCAGAGGGCCAGGTCACTAAGAGACCGCCTTAGCACTTTTCTATATTTCTGCGCTCTTGTGCTAATACCCCTGCAGTGAATTCCCTCTGAACCCCTGGGCTGTGTGTGAGCCGTCCCAGCACCTTCCAGCTACTGGAAAGAAAGCGGCCCTAGGAGCAACCAAGGTCTGATGCTGGGTGGGCGAATCACCATTTCTGTATCTCTGTGATTGTTGTTTTGGTAACACAAGTGATGAAGGAAAATATGCTCATTGTAAAAAAGAAAAACACACCTGGATAAGATTAAAATATAGAAATACATATTTCCATACATATAGGATACATTAATATGTGCTTACTATAAATATATATACAGTCATGCACCACATGACTTCCATCAACAAAGAACACACATATGACGATGGTGCCCTATTATAATACCGTATTTTTACTGCACTTTATGTTGAGATATGTTTAGATACATGAGTACTTACCATTGTGTTACAACTGCCTACAACATTCAGTGTGGTAACATGCTGTTCAGGTTTGCAGCCTAGAAGCAGCAGGCTGTACCATGTAGCCTGGGTGTGTCGTAAGCTCTGCCATCCAGGTTTGTGTAAGTGCGCTCTGTGGTCTTTACACTATGGCAGAATTGCCTAAGGACCATTTCTCAGTGCATCCCCATTGTTAAGCAACTCGCGACTGTCCGTATATGTGTGTGCAAATATATCAAACAAGTGAAAATGCTTCTTGACACCCCATTCCGTCCTTCCCCAGGGGAAACCACTGCTGTGTTACGATGGGTAAACTTAGAGACATTTTTTCTATGCATTTACATAATAAACAAATGCCTGCATAGTTATACATGTATAGGTTTTTTTTTTCTTTACACAAAGAGGATTGTGTCAGTATCGAGTGGCTTGATTTATTCACTTCACTTAATTTATCTTTGATTCTTTTCCCTTCTTTTTAACTGGGGTAGAACAATCTTCAGTACGGACATAACATTCTGTTCTGCTAGAGATGGATATTTAGGTTATTTCCCTGTTTTGTTATTACAAACAGCACCGCAGGGAATCTCTTTGGCCAGATATCTTTGTGCGTGGACATTGCTATCTTTATAGATATAGAATGGATTCCAAGGCATAGAATAATGAGATCGGGGGTAGTACACATGCCCCATTTTGACGGCTCCTGCCAAACACTCCTGAAAGTGTTTAGGTTCCACCCTAACCTGCAATGCTTGGAAGCGTCAGGTTTCTCACACCCTTGCCAATAGTGAGTGTTATCATTAAAACATGATTTTCCAGTTTGATGAGGAAAAATTATTAATATATCCCACTGTTTGATTCATATTTCCTTATGAAAAATATCACATGGTTGTTTTATATTTAATTATAAATAAACTTAAGCATCTCTTCATGTGTTTATTGGCCATTGGTATTTATTTTTCTGTAATTAGTCTGTTCATATCCTGTAATGATTTTTCAGGTGTAGGGGCTCTTATGTACTTTGAATATTAATCATTTGTCTGTTAGGTTAGTTGCAAATATTTTTCTCTCAGTGTGTTGCTTATCTTTCATCTTTGTTTATGGCATCTGTTTGCCAAAGGGAAGTTTTAAATATTTATGTAGAAGAATTTGTAGAAGTAATTAGGGAATTGACATTGATTTACACTGGCGGTTGGTCCCTGTTTTAACTATTGTTCGTGTGTATGTATAGATATTATGCTGATTAACAAACCTTTTAGAAGTTAAATAGATCTACAAGTACACTTATTTTCATGTATTTCCCTCAATGTCTGGAGGCTGAAAGTAGGACAATTACTGTGTATCAAGTTCTAGAGAATCTGTGATGCTGCAAAGACATTCCCTAGGCATGGAGAGATTAGGGACCACTGAGACAGAAGCTGTCCATGGGGGATAGACATGTGGGCAGCCCCACGTTTCCATTCTTACAGGTCAGCATCCAAAAGAAAAAGAGCACCTCTTCTAGTGTCTATACATCACCTCTCTCAAAGAAAGGGAGTCTGCTTGCCCCATTACTATCCTTACTGACTCTGGTTACGTGTCCACCCCTGCCAGGGGGCGAGGATGCTGTGATTGACAGTCCATCCTGACCACACGTGGTGGGGAAGGATCAGCTCACTAATGGAATGAGGGTGCTAGATGGACAAGCACACAGATTGCAGGACCCACACATGACACCCTGAAGACAGTGGTGGGGAAGCCAAAGTCAAGGAGTGAGCATGAGACAGGCTTTCAACCAGCACACACGCCTTGGGCCTTGGCTTTCTTCTGTAAAGTGCTCTCATGGGTTAAATGAGCAACTCTGAAGTCCCACAAAGCATAAAGCAGATGTTGATAGATGGAGCATGTCAGACACCCACATCTGGCACCTGGCAGGTCCTCCAAGAGGAATAATGGTTTTCCTCCCGTTGCTGTCCCTGGAATTAAAGGGCATTAGGAAGAGGTAATCAGGTCCTAAGAAGTTAGTGTGTGAGTTCTTCCACGAACTGCCCTGAGTGAGGCGCCTTCTTCTGGGAGGCCTCCCTGGTGTTGAGTAGATGGTGAGGAGAGGGTAGTGGCAGTGAGGAAGAGGCAGGACACAGTGGGGCTCAGGAAGCACTTCTCAAATGGGAAGCTGCCCCACGGAAGTACAAGAGCAGCTCCTCAAAGTGAAATCCAGCCCCACGCTGGGCCATGCAGCTGGCCTGGCACCCCAGCAACTGTGCGCCATGACCTGCCTTGCTTCGTTTCAGTCCATCTGATCCCGGTGTCAGCAGCTAAGAATGGAGTGAGTAGCAAGAGTCGAAAGAGAATCCTGCCTGACCCTGCGACGGAGCCCCCTGTGACAGACCCCATTTACGAAGCCCTTCTGTACTGCAACATCCCCAGTGTGGCCGAACACAGCATGGAAGGTAGGCCTGGCTGTGCCACCAGGACAGACACCGCTTTGGGGACTGGTTCTTCCAGCAGCATTGCAGAGATGGCCAGGACCCACGGCCTGCAGTTGCCACCAGGCTGTGCCCTGGAATGAGCTCCTGGGTCCCTGCATTCTCATCTAAAAAATGGGAGTAACTCGCAGGCCTTATGCCTGGGACTGAGGAGGATTCAGTAATTGCTCTGAACACACCACGTGGCTCACGATCAGCCCACCACAAATGTTTGCCATGATCATGATCTCTAGTGGGACGGCAGTAAGGTAGAAAGGTGGCCTTGGCAGGCCTAGCACAGCACATTGAGACACTCTGCTTTTCAGGGAAGCCTCTTGGGACTTAGGATGTCCACAGGATGTCCTGCTGGCATCATTCCATGGAAGCGAGGCAATTTCTACAAGTTTTGCTTTTCTAAAAGCGTATCCGAGCATAGTGTTGAATCCTTATTGATCTCTTTATGCCCTCTCTTGTCTCATGAAAGATTTAAAGGAGAAGTCGTTGTTTCTAGTATTTCCGTGGATCTCTCCCTGGTCTGTGCGTGTGAGTGAGGCCACATTAGTAGTCATACCTGCATTTCCCAGGCCTTCCATTGTTTCCGGGAGGCCTGGGACATAGCCAGCCTACTCACGTTCCTCTGTCCCACCTTATAAGACTATTCAGTGGCCCCTGCCTGGCATGGCAGCCAGGCCCCCTTCACTGCTCTGCCTCCTCTCAGTGGCCCCTGCTGCCTCCTGCTTAGATTCCCAGCACAAGCATGGCCAGGTTATCTCCTCGGCCCCCTTCTAAAAGGATTGACACCTATTGGGTGATAACCAGACAATGTGCTTCTCTCTGTCTCACAGGTCATGCCCCGCATCATTTTAAGCTGGTCTCAGTGCATGTGTTCATTCGCCATGGAGACAGGTACCCACTGTATGTCATTCCCAAAACAAAGCGGCCAGAAATTGACTGCACTCTGGTGGCTAACAGGTAAATTGCACTTTTTCTAAAAGTTAGTTCCAAGTATCTGTTAGATCCTGTAGGATGGAGAATGATGGGACAGGGGAGTGACCTACACTTGGTGAAGCATACTGTTGGCAGGAGCCTGAGCTCAGAGCAGTCCTGCATGTGAGTGTCATTGTACAGTTGAAAAGACGGAGGCCCATAGAGGTGGGGACACCTGTTTCCAGCAACACAGCAGATATACTGAGCCCAGGTCAGTCTGAGGCTTACCCTCAGACTGATGCTTTTCACTTTGAGAAACAGTTGGGACACAGTGCAGAGAGCACTGAGTCAACAGTCCTCCGCCCCAGCTCACCAGCTCCATTCAGAGCAGCAGACAAGTCCCTCAGTGTCCTCCGAGCCTCAGCCTCCTACTTCCGCAACGGAGATCATGAGTATCCCCATGCAGGCCTGGGGCAAGGAGTAAGTGAGATGACACAGGCAGTGCACGTTAGTGATTGCAGAGCCATATACGTGTAAGAATTATTTCACCCTTTTAATTCTTCACAGGAGTAGAGACAGCCTGTTCTGCGTTGAAAGCCCTTAGGATGAAAAATAATTGAACAGAGAGTGGAAATAGTATGGAAATGGCATGGCCCTACAGTTAGAGGCATAGTTAGCAATAAAATGTTGGGCTAGACCTCAGCAAATGTGTCTGGAGGCACATAACATCCTAGCAGCATTGACCTAATGAGGTCAGGAGACGAAGGAAGTGCTCAGTGGGGAAGATGTTATTTTGATGGAATGCTTCTGGGGTGCCAGCCTGCCCCAGGAAGGGCCAGCCTGGTGGAGCTGTGGATTGCCTCACTGCAGCCAGGGCTATTCTTTAAAAGAGGCACTTTGCAGCTCGTCTTGCAGGGTTCCTCATTCTGTCACGTGATGGCAGGATGGGGCCATTTTTGGCACTCCCTTTTGAGAGGCTCAGTTCCTAGGGACCAGTTGGCCTGGCTGCCTCTGCCCTCATTTTCCTTTGCCTAGTTCTATTTCATTAAACATTCTGTATTTTTAGAAGTGACCTTAAATCCTTTGTGTAAAGAGGGTGGAGTATGCATATTTTGTTACTTAATACTATTTAATTAATTTAATCTTTAAAAACAGTAGTAGTTGACTTGTCATTACAAGCAGGTACTTAGAGTAAGAGTAAGCAGGAACGCCAGTGAAGGGGACCCTATCTGGGCTGCTGATTCCCCCAGGACTATGGGATCTGGGTCACCAGCAATGCCTGCTGTCTTCCCAGGTGCTACTTCAGCTTTAAAAATTAGTAATGTTGTGACCTCTTAAAAGGTAGTGTGTCCTGGAGTGTGCCCATTATTCTAGTCTAGTGAAACAGAGTGCTGGGGCCAGCAGGCAGTGTGCAGTGAGCTGAACTAAGCAGGAGCTGTTTGTCCACAGGTTCGTTGCCCCAGGTTTCCCACCCACGATGACATACCCTGTGACCCTCAAAGCCTTTGTAGTAGAAGCTGCCTCTTGCTGAATGTCATGTGCTTTATGAGAAAGGTGTTATTTTAACCCTCATAGTATTACGTTTAGCCGGTATTAAGGTTATTAGCTATTTATATGTCATATTTAGTAAATGCTTTTTTTAAATTCATAAATATGAATTAAATATGCTTTTCTACATCCAAGGAAGAGAAAACATTCACTTCGATCAGCACTGATTGCACAGATTTTAGTTTTATGCTTCTATCATGTGCCAGGTACCAGATGGTACCACACGAGCAGACACCTACATGAAGTGAAGGGGCCAGCTCTGTGACGATCTGGGGACAGAGTGCTCCTGATAGAGTAAACAGCAAGTGCAGGGAGCCTGAGGCTGGAAGAGCTGGGCGGGTGTGAGCTGCAATAAGACCAGGGTATGGCTGGGCTGGAGCAGTGAGGGAGGGAGTAGGCTTCTGAAGGGTCGCAGAAGAAAGGCCCTCCTCAGAGCCACCCCTGCCCTCAGGGAGCCCAGCACCTCTACAGAGACAGGCCTGGTGCCCAGGACACAGCAGCCCTCAGAGAATGGTAGCTGGCACAGGTGGCAGCAGTGGTGGCAGCATTAGAGAAAGAAGAGGAAGAAATGGAAGAAGAGCAAGACGCAGAGATGCAAGTAGTTTGGGTGCCATATTTGGGGGCATAAGTCAGAAGAGGGGCAGCCTTACACAGCCTGGGGCACAGGTGGCAGATCAGGGAAGGCCATGCAGAGAAAGGGACTGGAAGGGTGTGTAGGAGCAAGTCGGGCAGCAGCTGGTGCCAAACGGCCCCTCGGGCGGTGAAACCAGCCTACGCAGTGTGAGGTGGCGGACAGCTTGGCACGTTGGGGCCCTCAAAGTTAGTTCACAGGCTGGAGCACAGAGTGGAAAACTGGGTGGGAACTAGGTGATCTGAGGCGTCGAATACCCAGCCAGGGAGTGTGGACTCCAGGCATGAAGGCAGCGAGAGAGCCAGGGAGTGAAAGGGATGTAAAGATGAAGGTCTCTGACAGCTGTTGTGTGGACAATGGATTGGAAGCTGGTGGCAGCTAGTGGTGGTATTATTAGGATAGTGATCCAGAGGAGGGACTTCACTTGGAATCAGAATCCACGTCCTTATAATGCCCCACAAGGCCTGAGTGCCATTCCTCCAACCCTTACCTGCCTCACTCACCTTCTGCCTCCTCATGTTCACTCACTCTGCTTCAGCCACGATGCTCCTAGCTCTTCCTTCCATGCTCGGGCACTGTGCTGCCTCAGGGCCTTTGCACGACTGGTTTCTGTCTCTGGAAGCTTTTTCCCACAGATAGCTTTATGGCCAGTCCTCTTACCTCCTTTAAGTCTTTGCTCAAATGTCACTTTCTTAATAAGACCTACTCAGAACATTCCAGTTAAAATGACCAGGTTTTCCTCCTTCCACCTTGGTCTCCCACAGCCCCCTCAGCCTACTCTTCTCTTTGCCATAGCATCTGTTACTTTCTAACCCAGAAACACACACACACACACATACACACACACACACACATTTATAGTGTTCATTGTGTACTGTCTGCTTCCCCAGGCTAGAATATAACCTTCCTGAGGGCAGAGACTTTTGTTTTTATTGACTGCTGCTGCATCCCAAGTGCCTAGGACAGTGACTGGCATATGAGTGGTGAGGTATGATTAAATGTTTGTTGAATGACTAAATGAGAACGGCTGGAACTCAGAAAGTGGCAGCAGAGATGGAGAGAGTGGGTAGGTCTTGGAGACGGTTACAAGGTGGGATCAACAGGACTCGGTGGTCTGTTGGTCAGGGGTATAAAAGACAGGCAGGATGGGGCCCAGGTTTCTCACTGGTGTCTGGCTAGTGGTGGTGCCCCTGCCTAGAATAGAGAACACAGAAGAAAGGAGGTGGGGGGGAAGTTAGTACAGGCATTGGTGCTACATTTGAGCCATCATGAAACATTCAAGAGACAGTTTATAGTCAGTAGTAGGCTGTATAATTTTTTTTTTTTTTTTTTTTTTTTTTTTTTTTTTTTTGAGACAGAGTCTCACTCTGTCACCCAGGCTAGAGTGCAGTGGCGCGATCTCAGCTCACTGCAACCTCCGCCTCCCCAGTTCAAGCAATTCTCGTGCCTCAGCCTCCTGAGTAGCTGGGACTAGATGTGCGCACCACCATGCCCAGCTAGTGTTTGTGTGTGTGTGTGTGTATGTGTGTGTATGTGTGTGTTTAGTACAAATGGGGTTTCACCATGTTGGCCAGGATGGTCTTGATCTCTTGACCTCGTGATCCACCCACCTCTGCCTCCCAAAGTGCTGGCCTTACAGGTGGAGCCACCATGCCCAGCCTAGATTATATAATGTTGTGGCTCAGGAGCACTGACTTACTGGGGGAAAGAGAGGTTTAACTGAGAATCTTCAGCATGTTGATGGCATTTGAAGCTGAGGGCTTATATTACAGGCAGAACCTGAGGAGTGAGGGATGGGCCAAAACCAGAGTCCTGGGAAACACCAGCATGTGGTACTTAGAGAGAAAAAGGCTCTCAGGAGGGTCTGGGGATGTTGCAAACAGGGAAGAAGTCAGGAGAGCGACGGTATGAGAGCTGAGGAGAGCAGGGCCATGAATCACATCAAGTAAGGCCAAAAGGCCCAGAAAGCTAAAGACTAAGAAAAGTACATTGGCCTTATCTTTTCATCATTTCATGTTATTAATATGTAAAATGATAAATTCTGTATTTGGTCTGAATTTTAAAAATCTAGTGTGACTCCAATTTCCAGCTGTGTATGCTTTTTTGGATTGTGTTTTCTGGAAACAGTGTCGCTGGTCTGTCTCCTCTCCTTGCCTTAACATTCTGTGCAGAACTCAGTAATTGCTGAGATTTTAAATAAATCACAGTAAATTTTCTCATGGTGTATAGATTAGCCATGGGGTTCTGTCTCAAGCATTGTGGCATAAATAGATGTGAATATGCATATAAAAGTGAAAATAAGTACTCCAAAGTGAATAACTTGAAGGCTTAAGACAGTAGAATGTTTTATTCTTTCAGTTTTCATTATGGAAGCAGATTTTCAATAAGCCCACAGTAATATGAGCTTTTCTTGAAGAAAAATTCATTTTCATGGATATAATTATGTCTACATTAGTCAGGGTACACCTATTTTGTAAGTTTATTTTGTAGCAAAAAGACTCATGAATGCATTACCTTAAATAACAAAGAAGTTTAACTCTTCCTCATGTGAATGTCTGAAATGTGTGTTTCAGATCATGCTAGTCAGCTCCACCTGGTCATTCAGGGCCCCAGGTTGTTGCTTCTACCATCCCCCAGGGATGGCTACATGGCTGAACCCTGGTTGCTGCCATGCCTAAATAGTGGTTGGAAGGAAGGAAGAGAAAGTGAAGCGGGTACCCTCATGATCAGAAAGCCTAAACCTAGAAGTAGCATACATGTTTCCATTCCATTGGCTAATGTGGCTCTACCTCATTTCAGGACCTCAGAAATGGGATCTAACCAAGTCCCTAAGAAAAGAATAGATTTTAGTGTGCAACTAGTACGCTAGTCTCATCCACGGTAGCCTTTAGTTTTAATACAGTCGTCCCTTGGTGTCCACAGAGGATTGGTTCCAGGATACTCCTTGGATACCAGAATCTGAGATGGTCAAGTCTCTTATGTAAAATGGTGTTGTATTTACATAGAACCTGCGCACATTCTCTCATGTTCTTTACATCATCTCTGGATTACTTATAATACCAAATACAGTGTAAATGCTATATAAATAGTTGTCATACTGTATTTTTTATTTGCATTGTTTTAATTTTTTTATTGGATTTTTTTCAAATATTTTTGGATCCCCAGTTGAATCTTCCAATGCAGAATCCGAAGAGATGGAGGGCTGACTATGTTTTCATCAAAATCCGAATATTTTAACAAACAGTATGGGAACTTACCATATTCAATGCTATAGATTATGGAAGGCTTGCTATTTTCATGAAACATCCAAGGATGGGATACTTCCCAGTTGAATTCACTCACACATATTTTTTGGAACATCTGCTGTGTGCTAAGCACACTCTGGGCTCCAGGGATGGAGCCGTGGACCAGGCAGACAGGACCTGGGTAGTCAGATCCAGGTCCAGGTCTCGAGTTACCTGGTCCTCTTTCCACTAAGACAATAGAGCCGTTTGTTGTCAAATCTTTTTTTGTTTGTTTGTTTTATTTGTTTTTTGTGACAGGGTCTCTCTTTGTCACCTAGGCTTCAGTGCAGTGGTACGATCACAGCTCACTGCAGCCTCAACGTTCTGGACTCAAGCAGTCCTCCTGCTTTAGCCCCCTGAGCAGCTGGGACTATAGGCCCATGCCTTGGCCTCCCAAAATGCTGGGATTACAGGCATAAGCCACCATTCCTGGCCTGTTAGCTATTCTTTAAATGGAGTTTTTCTTCCATGAATCTTCATCTTTGCATATCAAGAAAAAAAAAGTTGTAATGAATACAGTTAGATAGCGTCATTAAGCAGTCAGATGCCCTGAAAACCTGGGCTGTCTCTTC